CTCTCTCTCTCTCTCTCTCTCTCTCTCTCTCTCTCTCTCTCTCTCTATCTTACATAACTATTTGATCACTACCTTGTACGTTATATCGACTGGAAAGGTCACATTGTCGTGAAAAGGACTCGTGAACACAACTCCCCCTAACGTCGATGGCAAGTGTGTTTCATCGGCTAGGTACTTGATAAGTGACGCCTCAGATTCGAACGGCAAGCCTGCGCAATAACAAGACAAACAGCTTAACCACCAAATGCAGATCATCTAACAAATACTTTCCCCACTATCGTACTTCTACCCTTTCCATACTTTACAAAAGTATTACAGTCAAGATATCATTTTAATTAACACAATCTCTGTCACACCTTATTAGCAGAGAAGAGCATAACTCTACCGGTGTAGCCCCAACGCTCCCCCCACTATACAGAAGAAGCCAGTGTAGCCTTTTTCGCTCCTGTAGTGGGGCCGCAGGGGCTCCACCAGTAGAGTTAAGAAGAGCACAGATCGTCACAGCAAACGAAGCGTACCGACGACGCCGAGTCGTTTCTCGACCAATTCGATGACGTCCCGCGCCGCGGTGACGTTCGGAGCGTAGGCGACATTCCACTGGCCAAAGTCGAGTCTGGTGAGGTTGTCCGGCAAGCGCGAGATGTCGTAGGCTGCGTACTCCGTCACGTTCTCTGCGCGAGAGAGCGAGAAAATCAAAAGATCTCCGCACGTAACGGGGGAAATCACGAGGTTCGTATACTCGTCAAAGTTCGTTGCTGTGGTGGCAATGACTTCAATTTGTTGCTAGAGGGTATGTGCAGTGCGTATTTTCTAGTTGGTCTACTATGCCTAGAGGCTATATAGAAATTTACATGAAAATTACCACTGCATTTGTACTTCATTGATACAGTACTATATAAAAGCAATTTTCTTACACATAAAAAACCCTGTCAGGTCCCACACCCTAAGGTCATTGCAACTAATCTCCACGATCTCTATCACCCTATTCTATTCCAACCAGTTACCATTCCCTTTGTCCTATAGCTCCGTCTTCGATATAGTCCCTTGACTTTGAAGACTAATATTTACGAGGTTACAAAGTTACATACGAACACGGTAGAATACTAGGATAATAACAAGTAACGTGTCATAGTTGGGCGATAACAAACAAGCGAGAACGAGCGACGACATGTTTGGTGTAGATTATATTTTAGCTGTAAAGTAACCAAAAATACACACAAAGATAAAATAAAGTCATTTCATCAATGTTTTCACATTTTTTGGGGACATTTTTTTTTAATTTAGAAAGAGTATTTTTATGATAATCAACTATTTATTTCCATAATCGAGCGCTTAGCCGGTTGCTGCTGCAAACAACTGACTTTCGACTACAATCGATCATCGGAACATCACTAGTACGTACCGATGTAGTCGTTGGCGACGAGCAGACGAATGACGATGAGGACGAGCGACAGCGCGGCCGGAATCGCAATCTCGAAGAACGTCACGAGCGCATGCCGCTTCTGCAGCACATAGTTCTTCCACAGCAGCAGCCGCAGCTGCCGCCACCGGCTGCACGACGCCATCGCGCGGATGCGCCGGCGTGGTCGTGAATCGCGCGTCTGCTCCGCGATCACATTTCGGTCGGCGAGCGGACGAAGGCGGTACGTGGGATCAAACTACGTACGACATCTGCAATTTAATAGTTCGGTTAAATGCCGGTTCGCAGATCTACGTGGGCTTTGCGTATCTTTTCTCGTCGAATGCGTTTAGATTGCGCGTATCGATATTACTTGCTGCGACATTTACAGAAGGGTTCGTTTGAACCTTTGCCCTTGGAAATAACTTAACATTAAGAGGTGGGAGAAACTGCACGTGCAATCAGTATCACTAAGATGTACTCTTCAAAGGTCATCATGCCATTCATCAAAGGCATGCCATCTACTTGCACTCAGGATCACAGTCACAGAAAAAAATCTCAAGAAATACTTCTCGGAAAACATTGCTCGACTTAACATTCGCTTGACCCAATTCAAACAAATGTATGTGGAACAATTAGCATAATGTGGGTATACACGTACTTGCACGTGTATCATCGGTGTATGACAGTAGGCAATCACATGAACAAAGTGCACGAGTGCATACGTACGCTATCAAGGGTTAACTCAGCCACTCCAGATTCAACGTTTCTGTATGATGACATCAAACAGTTTACCTATAACATCATTATAACACTTGCTTCAAATTATTATCAAACCATAAATGGATAAGAAAAATACTAACTTGAAGAGCTCTCTCTTAATCTATCTTTCTTTCTTTCTTTCTATCTCCCTCCCCCCCCTCTCTCTCTCTCTCTCTCTCTCTCTCTCTCTCTCTCTCTCTCTTTCTCACTCTCACTCTTGTTTTTTCTCTCTATCTCTATCTCTCTCTCTCTCTCTCTCTCTCTCTCTCTCTCTCTCTCTCTCTCTCTCTCTCTCTCTCTCTCTCTCTCTCTCTCTCTCTCTCTCTCTCTCTCTCTCTCTCTCTCTCTCTCTCTCTATCTCTGCCTTTTTATGAGTGTTTTCACCGAGGTCACTGCTCTGTGACAACTATTGGAATGTTGTCTCGTAACCCAGTCTGCATGGTTACATTATCGTGTCAATTTGAACTCTGCCCAACTCAGCGTCGAGGTCTCGATCTGAGCAAGGCACTTTATCTTAGTTTGCTCGGTGACCGGGTTAGAGACGCAGATAAATCTCGAGTTGTGGCTTAAGCGATCTCCGCTGTCCTGGATACAGGCTGCCCTTAGGCGGACCGTAGTACGTACATACTATGCCTGCATGACTCGAGTCTACTTTTGTACACGCGTTACCACCCATGTATACATCATCATCATCATCATCATCATCACCATACTACAACGTTACAATGGCTAAACCGAATATAATCCTAACACCATCAGCAATCACATATGGGTTGGGTTCCAAATAATAATAGACTTAGTTTGCCTCTATCCACATATGAATGTACATATTTAATCATGTAAAACCTTAAAGAAAACATAATTTCACCAGGCAAACTAAATCATTTTTGTCACTTTTCTAAGTTTGCACTGTATATAATATATAACCCCAACCCATATGTTTTACTGGACCTTTAATTGACTAATTTTACTTTCTTGTGCTGAAACTGTGCTAGTATGTCACATGCCATGGCACGGAATACATCATCAGTACTTTATGGGAAAAAACCTAAGAAGAAGAAAATGGAGAAGAAGAACTGGAAGAAAAAGAAAGAAACACTGCCAATCACAGCAGCAGTGATCAAGAAAAAGATGATGCTGATGATGATGACCCAGTTAATTGTACATTGAAATTGAAACTGAGTGTTGTTTACTGTTAATTAATTATTTTAATGATTGTTTTATCTGGTTAACTCTACCCACTAGACTAAATAATCCTTAATTACATCGCCTAGCTTGTATTATGTGATTATATACTGATTTCTACATAGATTACGATTACTGATAGCATTAATAAATCACTAATTATCTACTAGTACTAACAAGGGGGATTGAAATCGCATCCTATGGAGAAGACCCCAGCCACAGACATACAGACGATGAATGAATATAAAGACGAAAATCTTTTGTCACAACTAGCGAACCACCTCTGTAGACTGTGATCTGACGGGGACCCCCTGGACGCCATTAATACATATATAAATCCCAGTGCTAACGGTGACGCTGAATGAGCAAATCGCGACTATATGTGCTCATCGTGATAACATAGCCACCTGATCAAGAATAGTTTTCATATTCCAAGGAAATGTAACTGTGCCTCGAATAAAAGAGACTGACATTGAACAATTTATCAGTCCGATCACGTAGGGACAGTATCAGATGAAATGGCTCGTATTCGTTCGTAAAGCTTACCACCATGCTCCAAACTTTTGCACTCCGTGTCAGTTGACAGTTGTCCGTTCTCTGCTATTAATATTATGTAGTTATGCCTAAGATTAACCTGACTCTAGCATAATACTGCGAAATAAAACATGCTTGGGTTCAATCCTTGTTTCGGATGGAGACCAGCTGATATTGGGAAACGTCAACAAAATGAAAACATTCTCGCAGAAATTATCAGCCAATTTGCTAGAGCGAAACCGTCCGCCCCTCACGACGGGAACCTCGTTTACGTTCATTGCTCCAAGTAGAGATAAAAATGTCAAAGCAGTGACTATTTACTAGATGCAAACGTTACTAGCGAAAAGGAATAGCTTGAAACTTATCGAACAAATAAGTAAATACATGATATTATATTAAACAAATTTTTTATTTATATTTTAGTTAACGATTTCAAAAACACATTATGCAAAATATATCCAAGTGAAGTAAGCACACATATGTAATCCATATTACATTACGTTTACTATAATTACTCCGTGAAGTACTAAACACGGGTTCGCTTATAAACGTTAATTTGATATCATTTTACAGCTCGGGTTCTTTTTAAAAATCGTTATCGGGTCTTTTCGTAATTCTTTCTCGTTTAACGAACTCTTTGCAACTGGTTACTTGAAAGGCAAAGCACGAGGACGAGCACTCTTTGGCCGAGTGGTGATGGACACTGGTCGTTCTCTTGTCACTGTCCATTTGCAGTCGATACAGCAATGACGTTGGCAGACGGGGCATGCCTATAACACACAAATGACACAGTGATATATATATATTTATTTATTTATTTATTTATATAACACACACACGCACACACACACACACACACACACACACACACACACACACACACACACACACACACACACACACACACACACACCACCACACACACACACGACGCGCGCGACGCGACCACACACTACACACACAC